AAAGATTTCGAACAAGAATGTGCTTGTACGCGCTTACAAGCCGTACTTTTTCCCCCCATTTTTGTTGTTGTTGTTTTTTCCCCGCTGTGTTTGGTGTATAATTTGAGTAATGAGCCAGCGAAAAATTGCAAATTAAAGTGGCGTAAAAGATTATACAAAATGTAAAATGCCAAAAAGCGCACAAACAACAACAAAAAATTGTAAGTAATGAAAAAAAATGCTCGACGCTGGCAGCTAAAACATGTGAAATACTTATAAATCATTTAAAGGCAGCATGCAGGCATATTAAAGCGCTCCAAACAACCCAAAAACAACGAAAAAAAAGTTTAAATCAAAGAAGTTAACCCATCATAAACGTCAATTTCATACGCACATATTTGCATGTGTGTGTGTGTTCGTGCTCTTTGGCTCTTCGGCAGTCTTGCTGATATGAAGCCTTCTCATAGCACGTCCACTTAATCTGACATGGAATATTAATGCCGCGGATTTGTCTTGGATCTGCCATCCGACATTTAAATACATAATTAATTCATTTTCTTAGCGCTGACCGCCGTCACAGCTGACCAGCGGTGGCAGMGAACTCGGAGATGAGCGCTGTTGAGTGGCGTTTAAGTCCGGGTCCTAGCGATAGCSCGCTGCTAAGCGTTTGCAAATCGGTTGCGCATACAAGCGTTTAGTTTGAGGCATGGCATTAATTTATTTTAGAGCATTAAACGTGATTTAAAAAGAAAAGTGAGGGGTATCCAATTTAGATCTGTCATTGCAAATATGTGGTCCTTATTCGCAACCGTGGGTGTTTGAAGATTGTGTGCTTTAAAAGAACATTTTGATTAAAAAATACTGGCAAGAGTTGAATTATGGCTTTAATCAAATCAAAAGAGCAAAGTATGCTCTGTATTGGTGGTTTATATTGGCCAACCTCAATTTTGAGTTATTGGTGAGTCTCAATAGAAAACATTTTTAACCGCGTTTTTTACCTGTAGAGCGACTAAACAATTCTTTCAAGTTTTAGGTAAGTGAATAGAGATCTTCTCTTCGCTTTCAAAATATTGGACATTTTCGTCGTTTATTTCTTCGTCGCCCTTCCCAATGCCAGCTATCTGAATCTGCCACTATTTTGAAAAAAGTACTCGTATATATCAACATTTTAACGTGTGATCCAAGTAGAGGTACTTCTTTCAATAAACTTTTTTGAAAACGCAAACATAAGTTGGGTCAAGATTCCTTATTATTTTTGTTCAGTATTGTTTRGTATTCCTTCATRGAAAGACTTACRCCTGAACAGCGTTCGAAAGTYGTCCAACTTATGGTCAAGATAATCGGTATACCGAGCGCATTATTCGTAACACCACAACTCATATTGAGACGCAGAATTCATTATAATAGACCACATCCACGTCCAGCACTCAGTGAAGAAAATATAGCAKCCATGACTGATAGTGTTCACGAAGACCGCTGAGGGTCGATTCGGCGCTCTTGAAAAGCTCCAAAAAGATCAAACGTTTTCGAGTCAAATTTTATTCACCGATGAGGTCCATTTYTTTCTCAATAGGTATGTAAACAAGCAAAATTGCCGCATTTGGGACGAAGGGCAATCTGAAGCGATTCAAAAGTTACCATTTAATCACGAAAAAACAAAATATTGAAAAACATTGGTATGGTTTACGGGCGGATATAATCATGGGTACATATTTCTTCAAATTCTTCAATGGCGACCCGCCATGATAACCGACTATTTAATACCTGAAATTGAAGATCGCGATCTCGGCAACATTTAGTTGCAACAAGAAGGCGCCACTTACCATACATCGCATCAATCAATGGATTTATTGAGAGAACRCGTCGGAGAGCAGATAATTTCACTTCGATTAGTCACCAGGAGGTCGCCTTTCGACTATTTCATGTGATCATAAGTAAAATCTAAAGTTTACGCGGATAATCCTGCTTCGATTCAGGCCTTGGGGAAAGACATCACGCCTATCATTCGACAGTTACCAAACTAAATACTTGAACGAGTCAACGAGAATTGGACTCAATTGATGGACCATCTGTCGTAGCCGCGGCCTCCTTTCCACCTAAAATTTGAAGGTTCTATGTTTTTGCTTTAAAAAAATGCAGAACCCCGAAATGGATCACCCTTTATATAATTACATAGACTTAAGGTCAGTTAGCAGCACTGAAGGTATTCCAAAAGTTCAAGTATCTATTTCGGTCATAAGTATAGCTTATATTGCCTTAATTTTATAATAAGTATACATATGTATATTAATAAASTAAATAAATTAAGTAATAATAGCAAAAACTAGATTTGGCATTTTTGCTGCTCTTCTGAAACAAATTAGTTTGKGCTTATTGTTCGGAGATGTGTAATCCACATTATAAATCGCTGTTACTTAAGTAGATGATCGTATACGCATGTAGAAATGTATGTGCGACACCACAAATCGGCTTTAACGTACTCGTATTTGCATACGGATCTCTATGTACATATAACGTGAACACCTTGTCCGCGGGGCATGTTTTTGCACGCCGCTCCCAGCGACACATGCGCATTTACATAGCATGTATGTACATGTATAGCAGCAGCCAGCGTGCTCATAAAGTATACAATAATTTTCGACGCCTGTTAGTAATAAAAAATTTGAAATATGTGCAAGAAATGCCACAGCCTACGTCTGCGTGTGTGCGTGTGTGTGTATGGACTAGGAAATGAATGATGTGCGTTTAAAACCCAGAAAATATGTATCCAACACGCGAAAACAGCAAGAAGAATTGCATTTTTTTTGGAAGCACAGTAAAAACTAGTAATTTTAATTGCTTTTTCTTACTTAAGACACGGCGTTGATGTTGCTCCGCCGTTGCTCGAACCGAATAACTGAAGCTATGAAGTTTGTAAATAAATACGTGAGTAATTGCTGYCTGGTATTAGTAGTTGTTGCCTCATTTGTTGGGACGCACAATATGGGCGAATTAATCCGTTTTAATTTGATTTTCTAGCCTTTTACCTTTTCTCTTGCTGCCGCAGCAAAGCAGCACAGCTCATTCCATTCAAATTACTAACTGATGAGTCAACGTTTTTATGCTCAACTTTTTTATGGTTTCTCGCAACGAAAAGTGGCAGTCGCGGTGTGGCATGCAGAAATATGAGAATTCATATCGCTATGAGTGTGCACTTTTCTTGTTGTTTATGTGGATATAAATGTTTGTTGTTAACTGTTTCACGGTTTTGATTTGAGTTTTCATCACATTGTTCGGAGCATTAGAAATTGAACCGCGATGCGTGAAAGTGGTTTATTACAGTTTGTTTACAAATTTCCTGCGTAATGCTTTCGAATACGAAAGGGTTCCCCACAACTTTTTGGGTGAAGTAAAGTATTTTTTACGTGTAAAAAAAAAAAWTTAAAAAATTATTTAAAAACATTTCTTTTTTCATTTAGTAAAACTTTTTTATGCACACAATAATTAAAAAATATGAAAATATTTTGCAGTTCAAATTTAATTCACTTTTTTTTGCACTAAACTCAATCAAATGAAAATCGTACAATGCATAAATAAATAAAAAATTTGGAAGGAACTCATAATTAATCAGCTGAATACCGCGGGCACGCCTTTAAAGCAACTGAGGTACGTAAAAGCAACAAAAATAGAAACAAAAGTGGAGAAATGTAACAGGCAGACAATTTAATTGCACATTGTGCTATACATTTTTTCGTACTTTCAAGTTTTTATATATGTACATATATACGTATATGTACGTATATACGTACATAATTTTTTCAATATTTCTTCAAGCATACAATGATTGACAGCGTTGTAAATTGAAGCATATTTTAAAAACTTTCAGAACCAGTTGTTTTCTATGAGAAGCTGTCAATCTAACAAAACCTTCCCATGGTCGCTATGTTTGTTCTTGTACACTAAGACTAAGTTTACACTCGTCAATTTTTGACTGAGTTCGAGTTCGAGTTGCCGCGAAAATCGAGAGTGACCCTTGCGCAGCTTCGTTCTGGATACTGCAGCAGGTTAAACTCCTACTTATCCAGAATAGATCCCGACATATCAAACATATAACCAGAGTGCAACGAGTCCTCGAATGACACTAACCATCTCTTTGCATGCCTATGGTCCGACCGCGTCGAAACAGYACGTTTCCTRCGACTACYGTTGGATGACTTATCTGAACCTTACCTTCGGAAACTTTTTTTTGTTTTGTAAATGAAGTATTTAAGAATTGGAGTACGTGCTATGAAAGGGTATACTGAAAATTATACGACTCGTCGTGTAAGCTCGGTGTAAGCAAGAAATTTAGATGAGAAAGCAACCACAAACTTATCTACATAATTAAATCTAAAAAAACTGTGCGTGGATACTTCATCAGAACTTACAACACACTTATGTTTTATCGCCACGTGACCGACTAATATATATGTGCTACTTGTTTGTTCTATTCGACACTCTCCAAGTCTTGAGAATGTTATTTGCTATAACATATACTTTTACCATACATATAAACACATATATATCTAACACATACTCGTATGATTGCTTGAGCTTATTCATATACTTTTTATCACAACAACTTCAAGCCTTAGTTCATAAATATCCGAAATGTATCCGGTTGGAAATTGTGACGTTTATTTAATGAAATAATTTTTCAGTTATATAATTGTTTACTTTCTTATCAGAAAACACAAGCAAACATTATAAATGAACCGCCATAAGATTTGGAGTGTGCCAAAGAAAAAAAAAAAAAAAAGTGTATAAACAAAAAACCAAAAAAAAAAAAACATAAAATTGGCAGCACTTGTGACCAGTACAAAAGTTACATATTATCACAATAACTAACCATTAGATTAACTGCATATTGCACGTTCTAAAGCACAGCATGACAATGACCTTCGAAGTTTAAAACTGTAAAACACACATACGCCCCACACATTTCTAGGCAAGTCATTATAATATCATTCTATATAAATGCTAAATAATTGAAGTTTACTCACCGTCCAACGAAACGTGAATGGCAGCACAATCGCACTCATTCCCGGCTCACTCAGCACGAAGCTGGAGCCGCCTAAAATGCCTGTGGTTTTATTGCCGAACGAGCAGCCCGTCGTTATGCTGGGCGGCGAACTCTGGTACTCCTTGAGGCACAGGCGAAAGGCAGTGGAACATGGCGGACAACCTGAAAGACCCAAATCGAACTCAATTAAATGGAAATGAACGAATTCGCAAATATGTAAACAATGATAAATGAGAATATAATGTAAAATAACACATATGGTTATAAAGTGTGAATGTACACTTACCCGTCGTTTTTGTACTTCTTATCTCTAGAGGAACACCACAGCAATAGCCCGTCAGTAGGTGGCTATTTGTATTTGAAATTTCTAGTATTTCTAATTCAAAGTTACCAGCGGCTGATATCTGTTTATAGGGAAAAACAAAAAAAAATTATTGAAAGTGTTAAATCGGTATATTATTGTATAAATAGACTAAAAACATGCATAATTACGCTATCCGACAAAAAAATAGTTAAGGTCATAAGTAATAAAAATATTTTCTCTGTTTTCTGATTTTAGCCTTTCAAACTACTTTCGAAGTTCGAAATTAGGGTAATTCTAAAACTGTATTACAACGCCTAGGGATTAATTCGATCTTTTGCAGTTACTGTATGGTGTGAAGGGGTCTTCGACAAAAAATTATATTTAAACATACTGACCCGACTTTAAATAATAATTTTGCGTTAAAATGAATACCAAATATTGCTTTTCCGGAGGCTTACTTAACAAATAAGTTATTTTCTTGTTATAAATACAATATTTTTTGTTTCCTTGATACTCTCAAGAGTTTTCTACATGTGCTGATCGAATTCATTAGAAGCACGGGATGGTTCAGAGAGAACACAATAGAGTGAGGRAATATTAGTGCCGGTGGTATCACAATAARYGYCCTAAAGGCCAAGGTGTGTCGTCAAACAGCCACTCCACCGACACTTTGCCTATCTACTTACTTACTCTCAAGTGTACTCCTCAAGGAATCAGCCGGAAATATTAGCTASATAACTTACCAACACATTCSGGTCTACATAATTGGCAAGGGTGCTGTTGTACATGCGCCCAAGTATTATAATATGAACATAATGCCGCAAAATGCTTTTAAAACTAGTTAACGCTGCTACAACAACAACAACAATATACCGAAAATATGCCTAAGCTTGTAATTTATCGACTATCGTTATACTAATTAAGCCATAAAAGCGCTAACAAATTGAGTATTTACATGGGAATCGAGGTAAAATCACAACAACAAGCCAGCAAACATACTATATAAACAAATGTAGGAAAGCTCTCATAAAACGAATCTTGAGATATTAGACAATATTAGATAAAGCAGCGGCAACAATAAGAAACATGTGGCGATTTAATTAAAACAAAAACAATAACAAAAGCGCATGGGAAAACGAAAGAAACGAAACAGCAAGATGTGTGGAAAATGGCATTCGCCACAGTCTGGTCCACTGGCGACCTCCTATGCGCCACTAGAGTGGCCACCAAATGCGGCGAACACTGAGCGTAAAGTGAAGCGCTGAGAATGGACGGCATGGCGCTATTGAAATATTTAACCAAAAATTTATTGAAAAAACAACTTACATTAATTATGAAAAAGGCAAGTTTTATTACGATCTATTTATGACTGCGCCAAAGGCGGAATTTGAAAGTATAACAAAGCGCGTTTCCTAAAGTCTACTATACTATATGTATAGTATATGCAAAATCGCAMGAATATCGCGGCGAGCTAATTTGATTGTTTTCGTTGGCAACCGCTTGTGGAACGCAACAACAAGCGCACCCATATTTGTTGCATATTTCATAGCGAACTGCGTGCCTCTGTGTAACAATCAGCCTTTAAATAGCATTATGCACAACAACAAAGATAGCAATCAGCATATTTTGTTTGCTTTTTATTTCTATGAGAARAATTCGTAGCTACAAAAATTACGATTTAATTAAACAAGGTATCCAGCAGCTCAAACAACTTATAACTCATTACAGCGGCAGTCAGGCGCACAGCATCCAGCAGCCGGAATGAAAGCATATAAAACACATTTAAATAAGAAAAATTACTTGAGGTGCAAGTACGCGGCGCATGAGGCTGGGCATCATCAGCATGGATTTGTGGCATGCAACGCCGAAATACACACAGCAACGACGGTCGCTATCCAATTTGAAGTAAGCAGATTACACATATTCAACAAGTACGCACACAATAAAGGTAAATCAAATGAAATGAGCTCCTGCAGATAAGGTAATCAAATTTTTCTTGCATCTCATGTCATTTCAWGCGCTCACTTAGACGGCGCGCAGCACACCTTTGCTGCTTCAATGCGCATTCTRTGCGGATTTGTACTAACGAGCTTCGCGACTGCCTTGGAGGAGAAGCGCAAGAGCGAAGTAAGTAAGCTATAGAAAACGATAGAAGTAAGCTGACTTTTGGAGTTCAATATCAAATAGACTCGCGTGCATAGGATTTTGAGATTATTGCTGTACAAAATAAGTAAATAATACCCTTCACTGGTGCGTTTCTGATTCCAAATATAATATATGTGTAAGTAAATTTGAAAATATAATCGGCCAACGGTTCGCTGTTAATAGAAAAAATTTCAGGCTTTGATTTCCATCCACAAGCTATATATATATTGAATTTTGGGGAAAATTTTTTTCAGCATTCAATGAAAAACGTGWAATTTCAAGAAGATCTTGTCAAATGAAAACTTTTCTGCAGAAGAATTTGATTTTCATCGATTAGTTTATATGGCAGCTRTTCCTACGAGAGTCTAATATCGGCGTTTGCGACAAATGAGCAGCGTCTTAGAGACAAAAGAATGTAACCAAAATTTCATATCGATATCTCAAAAACTGGGGTACTAATTCGTATGCAGTTAGACCGGCCTACGGTCGTAGCTAAGTGGACCCAACTCGCCGCGCTGATCATTTAAGGGGTTACATGGGTTACACGCGTTTCGAAAGAAAATTTTTCGCCTTATCAAATTCTGCAACATCTTTAAAATATTGTCTTAAAATTGATTCGAGTAATAAGTCCACCGTCTTTAAACACGTTTTTCTCAAAACTGTATTTTTGAAGTCGGTTGGTAAGATTTATCGAGAACTACACAACCGACCTTCTTAAAGTTTTATACAGGTCTTTACAATTCTTAATGAAATGGTTAGAGGATGTTTTTCGATTACAAATGTTTGAAAATTTCCACTGAAATTTTCATTATTTTGTAAAAATATCTGCCAAAAATCCACTTTTTAGTATTTTCCTTCGTCTGAGTCCTAAAATAAGGTTTTAACTAAAACACGTATTTTTCACTTTAGACGATCCTATAAGGAGTTATCCTACCAACACGGGTGCATCTTTTTTCCGAGGAATTACCGGAACCATGGCGTCGCAATGGCCAAGTTTTAAATATTTTTTCCAAAAATTTTAGAATTTCTTTGTTAATATGGTAGTGTATGTTTGTAAAGGAAAATAGAGAATATATCAAATTTGTATTAGAGGACATTTTTCGAAGAGGACAATGGCAMGTTTTTGATCTGTTGCAAGTAAAGATAAAACCATTGTACTCAAAACGTCAATATGTCCAAAAATAAAATTTAAAAAATCGCCAACAGAGTAGATGTCACAAACTACCCAACACCTTTTGAGAAATATATTTCAATATCCCTTTTTATATGTATTTAATTACAATGTTAATGTAACGCAGAAGAGCAGACAATCAACAAGAAAGGTATTTATTTCCAAACAAACTCTTAGAAAAAAATTCGAATCACTCAATCAGTTAATAAAAAGAATTATTTAAATTTCTCCAGCAAAAGCTTAAATGCACTTATGCCCATTTATGAAATATTTACAATTACAATTAATTGCATATTTCCACTTTGAGCAGTTGAGATAAATTGTAGAAGCAGGCGCATTCCATTTTAGTGGGATTAGCAACAYGTAGCCATTAGAGGCATTACACTTTAAATACAAATACTAACAGCCATAAGCACACATACTATACACACACATACAGAGGAGTGTGTGCTGCCGGGCAGCAAAAAGGAAGCGCCAAGCTAACGCAGACGCCGCATGAGCTCGCCGCAATTACAAATGGCATTGCTTGGCAACACCGGCAGCAACAGCAACAACAACCAACATGGTCTTAAGCACCACAACTGATTCTCTGCACAATTCCGCCATACATATGTGCCGAAAGCACTTCGCACACATTATCATGACTCCTGCAATTGAAGACGACGATTATATCTTTCACACGCCACATCTAATATCTTCGAGCTTCCAGTGCGCACACTGCGCACACTGCGCCTGCCCGCCAGCCGCGCAATTGCCACCTCTAATACAAAACATAAAATGTGCAATTTAGTAGCTGGCKGTTGAACGGCAGCAGCARCAACAGCAATAACATGTAGCATGGCAAATATTAGTTTGGCAATTGAAATGTAAATGGTAATACGAACAACCCGACTACTCGGAACAAGCGGCCACAACTACCGYCCCATTGTTGTCCGCGCTGGAGTGCCGGTATTGCGGTTGCGGCTGCCAGTTTCTGCCGTTTGTGCGCGCATATCTCACTTAATTTAAACGGTGCGTAATTCGACTGCAATCCCAGGG